CAAAATAGTCACGGGGCGCTCGTGGCTATTTTCTACACGCGTTTGATTTCAGTTCAAGGAGATAAGTTTCGCGTACGAAATTTTATCCAATCCAGAGCGGCGCCGTAGATATGACATTGGTGGGCTAGACGCCATCAAAGAAGGTGGAGGTGGAGGTTAGTTTAAGCTGCGATGATGCTGCGCAGTTTTAACGTTTTTTGATTATGACTATGGCTGAATCATTTGCGCTTTAGGCGGATTTGGTGGCGACCTGTTTTCTCATATATTTGGTGACGATGACGACTCACCTTTCAGCGGGTTCTTCGGGATGGGTGGTGGTGGACGACGGTAAAAGTGATGCCCTTCTGTGTTACTCCGCCCAAATTTATTAATGATAGTTTCAGACGAACTCGGCGGAAGTTCAGATACTGTGTACTGTGTATCCCTTGAGTGTTACATTGGAAGAAGTCTATATATGGTAAAACATCGAAGCTTCGATTATCAAAAGAAGGCGCTGTGCACGAAATGCAAAGGGTATACTATATTGATGTTGCACCTTTTTCAAGTGAAGTTACTGAACGGGAGAGAGGAAAATGTCAAATACAGTTTTCTTAAACTAACTTTCTTAAGCTAACCGAGAAGAACTGTATGGGTTCTTTCAATACTTGGCGAAATGTATTGTTTAATGGTTAGATCATCATTTTTATATCACTTCTCAACGGGTGGCGAGAGAATCAGCATAAGTGGTGTGAAGCCGTTGAGACATGCTTTCCATAATAGAATGGAGACTGAAACTTAGCTGTCATTTTCAAAAAGCGATACTTTTCAACGTCATCCTCTGACTTAGTGGCGAATTGTCTAGTCATTTTTAGTAGTTGGTTGTTTCCATCACCATTTTCAGAACTGGTGGAAAAACTGGGCAATCTTACGAATGTCACTCTTGTCGTGGTCGAGGAGTAAAGAATCTTGTACAGCAAATTGGTCCAGGAATGGTTCAGCAAATGCAAGTCAGATGTAACGACTGTGGAGGGGAAGGTAATCACGCTTTTTTTAACCAATATTATCGCGTTGGTGGGCTATAATATAAATTTGACAGAAAAAACGAAAAAAAAACAAAAAAAAAATAATATTCATTTGGCAGAAGAATGAAATTTGCTAAACACCAGTCCCGAGAGCTCAGGCTAAAGGTAGGTTGTTACGAACAACGTTAAGGTTATATCCCGTAAGGGGCGGATGCTCTCCCATGAAATCTCTGTCTGTCGACAGAATCGATCACTAAAGTATGGCATCTTTGTGGCTTCCGATTCTTCACTTCGTCATGACAAAACAAGCAGCCATTAAGTTGAGCGAAACCTGGCATATAAAAAGTAGAATAAAGAATGAATAGAAATGACGAGTTGCAAAATCAATCCTATTCTTAACTCGATTATGTGTCTCGCGGTCTGCGTTCTGCATTGTTATGGTGTTTCACGGTCCAGACCACTGGAGCACATAAAAAAGTGAAAAGCAATGGAATCTAGTAGAAAAAAATCTCGAAGGAAGAATTCCAGATCAGCTTGCATTGGTACAGTGAACTTTCTGACGTGATTAAAGTGGGTCATGCTTAATACGCTTGGCGTGTGATTGTTCGCAACTTGCGTAAAGAATTTTTTATTTTAAAACTTAAAAATTAGTTAGCACTTCCACGATGCGCGTATTTTTTGCTTTTCGGTCGCGTGGAACGAGCGCGATTTTGAGCGCCATGTTCCTCTGTGGATGTTGTGCAGTAAATAAAAAAAAACATGACTATTACCAAGTAATTTCAGCTATGGTAAATATGTAAAAGGTATTTCGATTGGAAAGAAATTGATTTCATGTAATCGTATGAAAACAAAAAGTTTGTTAACATTCGTTACAGTGGGCATAAAATATTTTTGTTCCGATTATTTCAGCAGAGTACATGCCTTTATTCTCAGACTTTGTATTTACTTCTTATGCTCTTTTCATTCACGTTTTAATGGGAATAAAAAGAAAAGTAAGACAACTGAGTGAAAATTTAACATCGCCCGGAGAATTTTTTCCAAACTGAAACATTTGTCTTACAGTGAACCACGACGTTTGGAGTTATATATGATTCCCTAATGATTCCACCAATATGGGGAATATTTAGGAAAATTATGATATTAGCACATTCAATTATATTTATGTTTCTGTTCGCTTAGTAAGCACAGCGCACGGATAGGAGGGGAGGTGACGGCGCTCGCAGAATCGCACCCATTTCACGCGATCAAAAAGCGAAAAACGGCGTCGTCCTGAATGTGTCAATTGCATCACTACCTTCAGTGGAGGGGGGACCACCACTTTACATAAACAGAACCAGTTCCATGATCGCGTAGCGGCATCCGAAGAGAGACTTCACCGCCTACCAGGGAGTCCTTGTATTCACACGGAATCATCCACTGTGTTTTCATCGGAAAGCCGGAACCTTTTGCTAAAGTAGCGCTCGGGTGTGAGAACGTTTCTTGACAACTTTTAAGGACCTGGCTAAAATTTGGCGAACTTTTTTTTGTTTGAAGTGGGGAAGCCGGTGTGTGCGCGCAGTCATAATTCATGGTGAAATTAAATTGTGTAAAAAGTGCGCCGTTTAGAAGTTCCAGTTTCGAATTTCATTGTAGGTGGGCTCACCAACGCTGTGCGACGGCCGAAAGCTATGCCTATGCTTAGGCTTATGCTTAAATTCGGACAAGAGAGGGCAAGACCTAAGCCTAGGCTTTGGTTTGTGTGTAGTCAGTGAGAGGTGACGGAGCCATATGACTACACCTATTCAGTTTTGAACGCAGGTGGCAAATATTTCGTGAAGAGGGGAAGCTTGCTCATCGTAAATGAATTCCGGTGAAGAGTTTAAAATGGAGGCCACTTTTTGCTTCTTTATCCTGAGTACCACAGAGCACTCCCTTTGGCTGTCTGATACTAAGGATGAGATAATA